ATCATTTAAGGATGATGAGCAAAGAGAACCGACTTGTAGCCAGATTTATGAAGGTGAAGATAATGAACTTAATATAAATGAATTGTTAAAAACAACTGATTGTTAACCGTTTCCATTAAACTCTGGAATTAACTTTAAATAAATTTTAGTCGATATTTTAGCCAAAATAACTTGTAGTTTCACATCAAAATCGACTTTACAAGTTTAGCGTTAAACACCTCATATTTTCTAATGCAATTCAACATAATTTATGAAATATTTTTGCTATTATTGTTAACCAAGTATATATTCATCGATAAATTTTAAAACTCACACAATAATCTATTAGCGTTCAACAGTTATGGCCTTATAATATTTGCAACCCTCTCAAATTGAGAGGGGTTAAACTTTTTATTGTCAGTTTTTGAACGCTAAATGATTTTTGTGTGAATTTTAAGATTTGTCGATGAATATCGATTTAGTTAAGAATAGTATAAAAGTTATTTTATCAACTTGTTGCTCTCACGTTGGGGCAAGTGCAGCTAAAATTTTAGGGCTTTTTTGTTCCCAGGCTCTAATCATTCCAACTTTTTGGAAAGCATCCTTATTTGATATGAGTATATTTTATAAACATAAATTTTTGGAATTTGCTCCATGTCTGGATGTTAGGTATCTCAAATATCAAAAAATGCTGCATCCGCCACTGTTATTGCCGAATTGGGGCAATTATTTGATAAAAATGTTCATTTCTTAACAAAATATGAGTTTTGGCCGCTTTTCGTTTATTTGCTTTATTGTGCGATAGGGCGAAATAATCTCAGAACTCGCTTCGAACCCTAGATCTCTTGCTTCTAAAGCAAGCGCTCTAACCAGTGCGCCGCAGCCGCTATATTTAAAAAATATTATTTTGTTTGTACACACATGAGAGTAAATACAAATTGTTGCCAAAAATTTTCATATTGTGGGCTGGGTACCAGAGCACCATCACTATTACAGTGACTACTATTACAAGAAACTTTTTATTTATTTCACAAGTTTTGTGAAATAAATAAAAAGTTGTGATGAAATAAGCTTTTCTAGCAGAATAAAAAGTATGTTAAAACCATATGCTGAATATTTGTTCCCAAGATATAACACTTAAGTGTTATATTCAAAGTACTTTGAAGAGTGTATGAAATACAGTTGATAACTGTACCATTTTCTACAACTGAGTTGTAGAAAATAAAGGTATTATTATTTTTTTTTTTTTTTTTACAATGACAAAAGTTTTAACTTCTCGCAAAAAACAAAACATTTTTTTTGTTAGTTTTTAGTTTTATGAAATATATTTTCTTTTTTGAAATTAAAGCCTTTGGTCTGTGTTAGCCTGGATACCATGGTAGCAGCACTTTAATAAATTTTTATCTAATATTAAAAGTTTATTAAAGTGCTTATTTTTTCATTATTTAAATAAATAATTTTTGATTAATATAACTAAATTTTTGATAAATATATTTGATAAATATATTTATCAAAAATAGCTTATATTATAAGCTTTAAAGACGGTAACCCTACAGTTACGCAACCTAAAATAATTTTATTTTTCCGCTTGTCAGTAGAGGCTTAACGAATAATAGGAATATAATTGAAATAATAAAAGAAAAAAGATTGCTGCCCCATGCCAAACCCTCAGTCAATGTAGCAGCACTTTCTTGTAGCAGCAGGCTATAAGATAGTCAATGTAGTAGCACTCCGTTGCGAGTCAGGCTATAAGATAGTCAATGTAGCAAAACCCCTTGGCGCAACAAACGCAAAAATATAATTATTTTAGGCCGCGTAACTGTAGCTTTACCTTAAAGTCTTCTATATTGAACATATCAGATTTGTTTTTTAATTCCTTGTTACTTCAATTGTGTATAAGTGTTTACATTCTCATCTCTTTGTTACAAAATGTGTATGTGGGTACAGTGGTGATTGTAGTATAAATTTTGTACTACAATCACCACTACACCCTCATACACTCTGTCAATCAAAGTGAATGGAGTAGGGTTTGATTAATCTATCAATCAAAAAGGTTTGCGTTTGATAGATTTGTAAAACCCAAACAACTACTTAATTCATTATTGACAGTCTGTCAATATTTGATCCAGTGTAATATTTACAGTCTGTCAATATTGGATTCTGTCCAAAATTGGCAGTCTGTCAATAATGAATCAAGTAATTCACCATTTATCTCACAACCAAAGCTTTTAGGAGAAGATTTGTAAATATTTGTGAGATCTTCTTAACCCTTTAAGGCCTAGGCTCTAATAAAGCCAACTTTAAACAAATTCATTTTTCTCATAAGTAGTTGTACAGTAATATCATATCACTAACTTATTTAGGGTCAAAATGCCCTGTTCAAAATATATTTTTGATACACATACGTGTACATTGGGGATTTTAGATAACAAAAATATTAATTCAAATCCCTAAGTACCTCCACAATCAAAAGCAAAAACAGTAAATAAGTTTTTTTTATAAGTAAACACAGCGTCATGACTATATATTACCCCCATTCAGAAGTAATAAAATATTCAAATAAGTTGATGCCTTTCTTTAACTATTGCATTAATTTTAGTGATAGTGCAGTTTTACAATATGAAAACTATATAAACATATTTAACTTAGGTCACCATCAGGGCTGTGGAGTCAGAGTTGGAGTCGGAGTCGGAGTTGCGGAGTTTGACAATTTTAGCGGAGTCGGAGTTGCTAAAAAATATTGCGACTCCGACTCCGATAGTAATATTTCTTGGTATTGCACGTTTGCACGTGTATGTACAAAACATTCAATTAACCTTATGTTTATACTAAACTTCAAAGAACGTTGCACAAATTTGTCAAAAAAAAACTTCAACTTATCGCGCAATATTTTTTAAAGAATTCAAAGAAAATTTTGCTTTAGAGTTGGAGTCGGAGTCGGAGTTGGAGTTGGAGTCGGAGTCAGAGTCGGTGAAAATTTTGCTTTGGAGTTGGAGTCGGAGTTGTACTCAAAAAATTTCAACAACTGGAGTCGGAGTTGGAGTCATTACTTTTTTTTTACGACTCCACACCCCTGGTCACCATAGAGGCTACCATAAACAAAATTATAAGGTATCTGCAGAACGGCATTTTCTTTTGGTACATCACATGGAAAAAGTGCATGTGATGGCATCGGGGCTCTGTCAAAAACTTGTAGCAAGGGCTAGTGCACAATCACTAACAGATACTATTAATTCACCTGAGAATATGTATGATTGTTATAGACAAAATATCTAAGTAAAACATTTTAAATACATTTCAAGTAATACAATTGTATTACATTGCATAAAGTTTAAATTAGAAAGATGTTGTTCTACTTTCAATTCAAAAAACAATTCCAGAAATAAGAAATAACCATTTTGTAATAAAAAGAATTGTTAACTATTTTGCAGATAAGACAGGTTTCAGAAATATCTGAAAACATTTTTATCAAGTTCATGAAGCAGTCTTTTTTTTTCATTTCCTTAAAGGTATCTTGAACCTCCGAGACATGTTGTGTTCATGTTAAAGACTTTTTCATTTTAGTCGAAGCTTGCCTTCTCTGTTTTGTTGTAGGCCAAAAAGTCAGTATAATATACGCTGCAATCTACAGACTTGATAATTTATTTAAGTGCGTTTTATTCCTAAGAGTTTCAGTACATTATGTCATTGGTTTTTTTGTTTGTGTAAAAGATTGATTATATAAACAAATAAATAATCAATTATGTCATGTACTAAAACTCTTAGGAATAAGACGCGCTTGAATAAATTATCAAGTCTACGCTATTTACGCTATTTAAGTTTTTATTTTTGTAAAAATCAGAAATTTCTGATGATCATATCTCCCAAAACACAAAAGATTAAGGTGTCTTAGTTACTGTGTTAGCTCACCTGTAATTTACTATATATTTATTTTTGTGTTCTGTCTAAATCTCCAGTGCAGTATTCACTAACCTGTACGTTATATATGTTTGTGTTCTGCCTGAACCTTTTATACGGTGTTCACTCACCCATAAGTTAATATATCTATGTGTATGTTTGTGTTCTTTTTAAAATCTTTGATGCAGTGTGAGCTCAGTAACCAACTAATGAATCCAACTATTAAACTTACACTCATCTTAATCTCTAGTATTCTGTTAGATTTAATGTTTTACTTGATGCATTTCCAAAAAATTTCCATTAATAATTTAAAATACTGCTTACAAGAAGTAAAGGCACAGTCTCTAGTTGTTGGGCAGATTTTTTTCCCAACAACTCTGTTTTAAATTATTTCATTTAAATCATCAAATTGCTTGGTAGATATAAGTTATCAATTTTTTTGTTATTGTTGTTAATGCTGTTAATAATTTAATATTTAGGGGGGTTTTAAGAGTTACAAGAAACTCTGTAGGGATTTAATAAACTTTAACAAATTCTAAAAATAAATAAAGCTCTAAAGGGTTTCATAAAACAATTTTACTAACTCTAGGACTTTAATATAGTTTATTAATTATAAATAAACTAGCTTACAAAAAGTGTATGTATTAAGATTTTCAATAAAATTTTTTAGTTTATAATATTTGTTAGTTTATAATATTTTATTGGTGTGGCAAAATTACTTTATTATCTGCTAGATTCATAGTCATAAGAATAAACTTTTACTACTTTTTATGACTATGCAAGATTTTAAACATGATTTGTTTTAATCATAGTCATAAAAAGTTATTTATTCTTATGACTATGTTTTAATTCCAGTGTTTCACAGGAAGTCATGCGATTGCATGTCTATATATGACCATGCATAAACGATTTTTGTTTAGCTGACTTGGTAGAAAGGAATTGTTGACATTTGAATAAGCGATATAGTTCACAAATTCAAAATATTTTTGTAATTTGTATTTGTTTTTTAAGCTTTTTGACTTATCACTCATGTATTTGTTTTTTAAGCTTTTTGAATGGAAAAATTATGAAAAGATAAAAAAAATTAGCTAAAAGCGAAATTAGAAAAAAATTAAAAATTAAAAAAAGGTTAAACAAATCCCGGATTTTTTCCGGAAAATTTATTTAAACAATTTTCTGTATTTTTAAAATATGACTAGTATGATCTAAGTAGGATTGAAGAATGGCAGAATAAGTAAACATATTTTATTGGACACCAAGCTAAGAAATATTTTGCATTTAAATCAGTGGAGTAGTACGCAAAATGTAATAAATTGGTTTAAAGATATCAATGGTAAATATTTTTATATACTCTTTATTTTTGACATTTACAACTAAAGTTTTCTGTTTTTATGACATTTTATATTGGGGCTGAGAATGTGTGAAAAAGTCAAATATGTAACGCATGATATAAAAATAATTTGTATTTTTTTATTTCCATTTTTAGTTAATTTTTACAACAAATTTTCAAAAAATTTCAGGAATTTTTTTGACATTAGGACCCCTGTAATTGCGGGGACCTAGGATATAAACATTTGTTTTAAGTGATGTATTGTTTCAAACACGATAGGATGCGGCCTAGTCAGCCTATTGATAAATCCGGCCCTAGTTACCATTGATGCAGATCATAAATCTTTAATTCTGCACATGCATATGTTAGTATTATTATGTATTATTATGCACATGCATATGTTTGTATTAATCTTTAGTTCTGCACATGCATATGTATTGTTTCAAACACGATAGGATGCGGCCTAGTCAGCCTATTGATAAATCCGGCCCTGGTTACCATTGATGCAGATCATAAATCTTTAGTTCTGCACATGCATATGTTTGTGTTATTTAGTAATGACCAAGTTTTGATAAAGTAAACAAGCGGTTGGTTTTATGTTACCATTGCTGCATATTTTTCTTTTTCATATTTCAAAATTTTATAGCAATTGTGATATTGGATTATATAGAAATGATAACTATATTGACAATATAGTTATCATTTCTATATAATCCAATATCACAATTGCTATAAAATTTGTTTTTACTCACAATATTATTGTGTGTAAAAACAATTAAACGTAAAAAATTAAGAAGCATTTTACTCAAATCTTTAACCTTTAAAGTTTAAAATTTCTATTTAATCTAATATGAAAATTGTTACATTAAATCTTAACAACTGCAGGTTTTCAACCATACGTAAAAAAAAAGCTATTACCAATTTTCAACTTATTAAAACTAATATTAAGCATAACTCAAACATCAATCAATACTATTATTGGCATATTCCTTTATGTTGAGCAAAAAAAAAAATCCTCTCAAAAGTACCTCCTACAAGAAATTGATTTTCTTATAGAAATTTGTTGAAAAGAGATATGTAAAAAAAATGAATAAAACCAAGACAAAGTATTGTTAAAGTAGTATTATTGCTTTTTGTTATAAATTTAGCAACAGTGTTTTTTTAAATCACCAAGCGTAAGCTTGGTGATTCAAAATTACTATTAGTAATCTTTTGTACTATTTCTTAAAATAATATGCTCCAACAATCTGCTCTGTTCTGCTGCTCAATCTGCTTTGTTCTGTCAGGATTGAATAGCTGATTTTTGGCATAAAGTCATTTTTTTTATTAAGTATAAAAAATGATTTTTTTATGTGGCATCTTAAAGTAATTTATACTATGCATTCAAAATGAGATTATTTTTTATCACAACTTAAATAAAGTAATACCATTTAAGTTTATAATCCTTTTAATATATTTTTATCTGTTATAAATTTTTTTTGTAAAGGTATGTGCTTGTAAAAAATATTTAATCAAGTTGAATTATTGCATTATTATATCAATTATGTAAAACAAATTACAAGTATAGTATATCTTCCTCCATAGATTTGTTCTAATTTTAAAATTGACTTTTTAAAAAGTTTAAAGAAATATTTCCCAACTTTTAAACCTTACCCATAGTTGTCCCCAATAAATATATAAACATTTGTTTTAAGTGATGTATTGTTTCAAACACGATGATTTATTTAATGTTGAGTTGAAAATAAAAATAAAAAAATAAGTAAAACTCAAGTGTATACAATCATAGCTAGCAATGATCAAACAGAAGTTAGTACCAATAATATTCAAAAGAATATTTGTCCTTCGGCATTTTTTTTTGAACAAAGCAAAATGTCAAATAGCAATGTACAAGCAAGCCTTGGCAGGGACGGCGAGTTATTGAATGCTCTGTCTAAACACAGTTATAGTTTTTTGTTGTGACAACTTGTCCACAACTTCTTAGATACTTTAGATATGCGCTAAAAGAGTTAAAGTTGTGGGCAAGTTGTTGCAACATAAAACTTTAACTGGTCAGGCAGAGCGATTGGCTCTTTTGGCTGATTTGGCTGATTGGCTGAAGGCTTTATTCCTGTCTGTACAAGTATAAAAGTAACAACTCAGACTGAGGGAAGGAAGACTGAGGGAAGGAACTCAGACTGACTGAAGGATTGATTGAAGGATTGATTGAAGGGTTTATTTAATGGTTTTTATCAACATTTTCTAGTCAGTCAATTCCATCAAGACCTTCTGGACAACTAAGTTTATTATATGCCAAAAAACCAGTTTAAGCCAAATAGTTGGATCAGAATTATACTAGAATAACTCTCACAAAACATTTCTGATATTGCAAGCAGAAGCTATGACTGCATGTTAGCAAAGGAAAGGCGATTTAGTGTTGTTTTTGAAAGAATCGAACTGTAGTCCATCTTGGGCCACTTGAATTCAAAAAAACTTTATTTTTACAAAAAAAAGAAACAATTCAATACATTTCAAGTCAATACAATACTATTCAAGTCGAAAACAATACAATATATTTAACAATACAATCTTCTAAAAACTGCACTAGCCATTAATAATATTTCTTAAAAAGGTATGTTATATTTACAAGCATAACTTGAAGTTATTACCCATTTAGGTTGAGAAAATTTATGAAACAAAAAATTTGAGTTTTTTTTCTAAATAGAGTCTCAAAAAGTACCCATTAAACCATTATAAATACAAATGACCATACTAAAATTATCCTAATTTAGAAAAATTCTTTTCACAAATAATTTTTTGAAAAAATATGTAGCTAGTTAACTGCTTGGTTGCTTTAGTTGGTATATTTTAGTGTGCTTAATACTACTTACTACAGGCGAAACCATATTTTTGACTTGGGGCAGAATCTTATGAAAAGATGCATTATAGTTCAGTCTTTTAAAAGTTTGATGAAAAGAGCAATTGGTTGTCATTCTGTCTAGTGTAATACTAACTCAACCTTTAAAAGCAAGATTCATTATTAAAGAGTTGTTCTACTCAGAAATGAAAAGTTGAGTTTGTTACAACATTTAAAAGATAATTTGTTTACATTCATTTTTTTATGCAAAAATATAAAAAATTGTGTCCTGTAATAACTTTTGTTTTAAATGAAGTTTTGCACATCCATTCAAATTCGTTTTTGCACATCCAATCAAATTCATTTTATGATAACTATACCTATGTTTGTTGTTCATATCTTAAGTAATTTTAGATTTGAAAGTTTTCATGATGGTGTTTGTTGCTTTATTTCTTCACTATCTAAAAACTATATTACACTTTTGGTCAAGTAGAAGAGATCTATTTTTTAGAATTGGTCAATGGTTGATAGTTGAAGCAACAATTTGCTAACTCAACAACTAGGGTTGAAAATTCCTGAAAAATTTGCTCAAAATTTTCCGGAAATTTTCGAAAATTATTTTTTGCAATAAACTTATATAGTTTTATAAAATTAATTTCTTTGTTTCAAAAATATGTTTTACCAAAAATATAAAATAGTAAAGACCCACAAGTGAAAAATACACATCTTTTGTCTTTATGAACAAGTTGATCAATAGAAATTTTTTTTTAAAAAGCAATAAAATACTTAAGTATTTATATGTTACTTTTACATATATGCTTAGCAAATTAAAAAAAAAAATTTATTTGCTAAGCATATATGTAAAAGTAACATATAAATACTTAATTTTTTTTCAAGTTTAGAGGAGAATGAAAAAAATTGTTTACTCTTGGTGGATGAAGTTTATATAAAGTCTCTTTTTCTTTATCATGGTGGTTCTTTATTTAGAAAAGCTGAAAATAATCCAGAGTTGTTAGCAAATACTGTTTTGGGTATTATGGTTAAATGTTTTAAAGGTGAACCTTTTTTTTATGCAAAATGATACTTGTCTGTCTTTTGTCCACTCCTTTTTTGTTTGAGCAAGTATACTGTCATTAATTCAATTAAGTCTAGAAACAGAAAAGTTATTTCAGTTATTTGTGATAATGATCAAACAAATCAAGCTTTTTTAAAATTATTTAAGAGAGTTGAAGAAAAACCATGGTTTACAAAATGTGGACTTTTTCTACATTTGATTATATTCTAAAAAATATTAGAAATAACTGGTTACAGAAAAAATGCAATTTTTTCTGTAATGCAATTATTTCTAACAATTTACAATTTGAAAATGACTAAAATAAGACTGCTAAGCAGAGTGGCCTTAAATGTATCTTTGATTTTGAGAATATCATAACTAAATTATCTACACTAAATTTTTTAGCTATACACAAAAAAGCCATTAAAAAAAAACTATTAAATTTTTAAAATTATTTTGTGAGGAAACTATAGCTGCTCTTAAAACTATTCAAAAGTTTTTGAAAAACCCTTTTTTAAAACCCTTGCACTAAGTATAAAGCCATTTATTTTTTTTTAGAAAAATTATTAAAATTATGGAAAATTAAAAAAAAAATTTATGGTGACATTCGAATTTTAGATTCTCGAAAAAAAGTTATTTCTGAAGAATTATAAATTTGCAGTTTTTACTTGATTTTGAAGTTATGTTAAAATGAAATGTAAACTAAGTCATTGAATGACATTTTTAAACTAGAGATAAAGGTACTTTTTAGAATTAGTAAAGATGTGTATATATATATATATATATATATATATATATATATATATATATATATATATATATATATATATATATATATATATATTAAAAAACAATTTAGTTTACTGAGGTGGATTGAATATAATTGATTACTGTGTACAGCGCGTAATTTTCTATTTTATTATTTTTTAAGTTAAGAAAATAAATAAATTAAGTCATTGTGTTTTATATTTATGAAGATATCTGATATTTATTACTTGAACATGTTAAAGTAACATGGTACTATATAATTAACTTCACTAAGTAACCTGCATTAAAAGTTTTAAATTATATAACATTAAAAAAATTATGTACATTTTTTATAAAGATTTTTCTATGTATATTTTAAGGGATTTTTTTTTTTTTCTTTTTGCATTATTTTAAAGTTTATTTAATATTCTTTTGTAATATAAATTTTAAATAATTGCAATTCATTCGTTATTTTGAAATATGTTGTTTTTTATTCATTTTCAAGTTGCTTTATTTAAACTTGATTTTGTTTAATAAATTATATTTTTATTAATAAATTATATTTTTCATATCATTGTGTGCCCCCAATCAAAAATACAAATTCATGGCAGGAAGGCCTGTAGTAAGTAGTATCTCCATGGCTAGATGGGAAAAAAATTCAAAAAATTTATTAATATCCTCTCCTGTGTATTAATCACCTAAGAGTAGAGATAGAAAAATTGATTATAAATATTCCTGTGGCAAATTTTTCCAATAATTTGAATTTTTTGATATTTAGACATTCTTCCTGATGTTAAGTATAATCTTGTTTATTTTTATTTTATTTTATAGAAACATCAAAATGACACAAAATGATATATATTTTAAAAAGTATAAAAACATCCTTGATTGCCAAGAGTTCAAGTTAAAATTTAGCGAAAGTGTTGGTGTAGATTGGAAAACTCTTGGATGTTGGTTAAATATTGAAGACAATTACTTAGAAATAATTGATCAAGATAATGTTAAAACTGAACGGAAAGCATATTTAATGTTGAATAAATGGATGCAAATAAATAAAGATCCAACGCTTGAGGTTTTAAAAACAGCCTTAAGAGATATGAAAAGAATGGATTTAATAAGAAAAATTAAGGAATTCTCAGGTAAAGGTTTTCTAACGAAATTATTTTTTTTAGTTTTTCTAATGGTTAGAAATTATTTTTTTGTTTTATGATTAGAACTTTTATATTAACTATAATTTATAAATTTTTTTAATAAATCATTTTGATTTTTTTTTTAGTTTTTGATTAAGCATTTACACCACGCTGCTTTTAACATGCATTGTACAATTAGTACTATGTGCAATTTTTTGAAAAAGCATAAAGGGATAAGTTAATAATGTCAGGATGCAATCACATTTTTTCCTCTTATACTAGTTTAGAAATAATTTATTTTATAATAAAAACCATAAACTTTGGTCACTATCTATCACTATGTATCTATGTATTACTTGGTCACTATGTATATATATTTTTAGATAAATTTATGCATTTTAACATAGATGTATTATCTTTAAAATTAGTTTTGTTTGTTTATGATTTATTAGTGAATTATCTGACTTTAAGGAATGACTAATATGTGACTTCAAGATGTGACTAATGTGACTTCAAGGTATGAATGATAGATTTTAAAGTTTGAGGTAGGTAGCCTCCCATCAGTAAAGAAGAAAAACAACATTAGAACTAACAACAAATTAGTTTTTAATTTAACCCCATCTTCTTTTACTGTTTGTAATAGATACATGAAATAATAATTATTTTTATTTTGCATTTGTTAGCTCTAATTAAAAGAGAAATCTATTATATAATAATATATAATAGATATAAAATTATGTAATAGATATATGTTATAACTTATATATTCTAAAAAAAATTTTTTTATCTGTAAGCTTTTCTTAATTCTATTTTTAAAAAAAACTTAAACAAATGTTAATGCTGTAGTAATTTTCTAATAAATCAAACCGTCAATAGCCCCATGACTCATAAAAATCAATTTGATAAATCACTTGACAATTCACACCATTTTCTTCTTTTATAAGGAGTTTGTATTTAGTAATTTTTTATTATTAACAGTAAAATCATTTGATAAACATCAAAAGTAATCAAACTCGATAAACTAAATAAATTTATCAAAAATTACTGATTTAAATATTTTAACTTGTGTTTCTTAAATATAGAATTAATACTTAATTTGAAATACTGAAAAAAAAAATTAATTGACCAGTTAATAAAAACAGTTGACAATCAATTCAATGTGTTAGTCTATTAAGTTGACTGCCTGCCATTGATTTTTTATTTTGTGTGCTGTGTCAAATTTGATAAACTTAGCAAATTTATCAAAAATATATTATATATAATATTTAAATATTAAATTAAGTAGAAATTTATTTTACTTCAATAAAAAATAATACTAAATTTTGTCGTATTTAACTCATCAAGGCAGGTTAACCTTCATGATAAATTTTAATTTCAAAATATTTTATTTTTTTTTGTTAGAGATATATTTAATATTTAATATTTAATGTTTAATAAGTCAGATAAATTTTAATTTCAAAATATTTTAGTTTTGTTAGAGAAATATTGTTTAAGATTTGATGAAAATCTTTAATAATCTTAGTTATTGGAAATAGAAAAAAGTTTTCTTTCATAGAGAAAATTAATTTTTAGATTACTTTTTACTGAACAACACCAACATTATTTGTGGTTTTGCAATAATATATATTTTTTTAGTGATATTTGATAGTTTTTATAAATTTGTTCAATGATTTCTTCAATTATCCATTGCTTCATAAACAAAAGATCCGTGGTTCAACCCCACTTCTGTGCAAAATTTGGGACATCGATTAGAAAGGAGGGGTAAACCTTAAACTAAATGCTCATTTGGAGTGCTCTGTGGTAAGACCCTAAGGACTTCTTGGGGCACCTAGGTAAAAAGGAAAGAAAAAAAAATTAAAAATGTTAGATGCTGTAAAGTTGACAATGCACTGCAAAAGCTTATGTTCTTGATCTGATTGTGATTTGTTTCTTTTTAATCTTTTCCAGTGACTTTACTGAATCTGAATTTTAAATGGATTCTGTTGCCTGTTAAGCAATTATTCTGAATAAAGGGCAATAACTTTTAATATATTCTGGGACATGATAAAAAACAACATTTGCAGCAAATTTTATTTTTTTCCATATCCCAAAATTCATTAAGGAAATTGCTTTAAGAGTTTTTTTCAACTCTTTTTTCCAAGGCACTTTTTGCTCTCATAAACATACATAAGTTTTCTATTAAAATTACAGCTGAGACCATCAGATTGACTTAAATTCATTTTTTAGTACTATTTACCATGAGTTTTTTTTTCTATATTTAATACTGTATTCGTCTCTCAATGAAAGGGTTACTTCAGTCAAAATAGTCATTTTTTTTCTTTTTTTTTCTACAACCCTTCTCTTCTAACTCCAAAACAAAAATATTTTTTTTTCTACAACCCTTCTTTTCTAACTCCAAAACAAAAATAAGCCACTGCAAGGAGAAACAAATTAAGCATTAAACTACTAAGGGTTTGGCGGATATGAAAGTAGTATACGAGTCAATTGGCTGACTACCATTATCTATATTTATATAAGTGATGATAAAATTGTGCTGTCTATCATCATCTATATTTATATTAGTATTATTTTTTGCTCATGGTACTAACCTGGTTAGTACCATGAGTAAAAGATTGCTGAGAGAGTTATCACGGCTGTTTCAGAGTGGACATATGGCTTCTTGTTATTTTTTGAAAATAATTACTTAGGGGGTGTTACTAAAACTTTCATAACTTTTGAAATATTAAAGATAAATACGTTCTGTAAAAGGAATAGGAACACTGACTAAATGTTTTATATTTTATTATTCAATATAATAATCCAAGGCTGCTCTGATTTTTAAATAAACGCGCAAAATGACGAACTTGGCAGAATTTCAAAATTTTAAAGGTGATTTTTAGCAAAAATAATCAGAAAAATTATATTTCTGTTGACTAATATGTAATATAAACATAGTTAGAGCATTTTTAAAACATATTAACATTATTTACATTGAATGCAAACTGATACAGGCACTACAATAGACGAAACAAAAAAATCGCAAAAAATTTTTTTTTAAAGATTTAGAACAAACAAAAAGAGTTTCAAATTATTTTTGCTTTCGATCGTAGAATAATTTCCTGACACTTAGATCGATATTACAATATTAACACTTTTCTGTGGAAAAATAACACATTTTTTATAAATATACATAACAATATAGGCAATTTAAATAATTTGATAAATATTGTTTTGGTGGATTGACATAAATAATTTTTTTTTTTCAGTTAATATATTTATATATGTTCTATAAGTAGTAAACAATCTTTGTATGCAATTGATACTAGTTTTATTTCCATTCCATATGGAAAATACTCTCCATAATCTTACTGACTTCTTATGTTAAATGTTGGTGCTTCATGCTTTTTCTGGAGTAAGGTTTAACTAATGATGCCCCATCCAGCAAATTATGATGGTTCGTATTAGTTGTCGTTTATTCATGATTGAAAATTTTCTTTATGATCTGACTGAAACAAACTGTTGTGTAACTGCTAAGACTTATTAGAATCATTTATTTTGTGGATTCTCATAAGCAAAAAATTTTTTTAGTTATCAGTTGGTCCAATGATTTGTTCTTAAGGTAGTATTAACACTCTTTGTACACGCAGTTAGAACTATGTTGTATCCCATTCTTTCACCAGAAAGACAAAATTCTTTATGATGACTAAAACTGTAATGCTTACGTAACTGTTGAAGCACATTCGAACTAATTTCTAAAAATAAGAATGGAAGTTAATTAAATAAAATTAGTTTTTTAATATTATAATTGAACTTGATGGCCACAAATAAGACAAAGACCTTTTCTATAAAACGATTTTTCGCCATGCTCTGAACACACAACACACTTTCTTACTTTAGCAGCTTGAAGCTTTCTATCAGCTTTGCTGTGCAATTCAAAGCGTTTTAAAACAAGACGCAGCTTCTGTTCCTGATTCCTTACTGAATGCAACTGTCTTAATTCCTGATTAACGCCGCCATGCAAACTCTCTCCTTCTTCTTCATTCAGCAATCCAATAGTTTTATGCGATTTAACAAATAGTAGCACATTAAAAGTGAGTTCATGCATTTTTTGCGTAATACTTTCATTAGGAATGCAAGCATGAAACTCACAAGCAAATAAATCTGTATATTGACATAGCTTAATAACTTCGGCATCGGAAAGAAATTTTCTCTTAAAAAGAATCGGCTGCAACTTATTGAAAATGATAAACACACACAAAAACTTATTTCTAATTGCCGCATCATCAATAACACTACAAAGTTTTAAGTGGTTTCTTAAAACTATTTTGCAATGATTACCAACAAATACATTACCATGGTAAGCTTGCTGCTGAACATTCATATCATCAAGGGCCTGCAGAAGAGCCTTCTCATGAGTGTCCATGTCGCTTCTTGATTTTTTTTCAAGATCCGCGCATTCAATCTGCAATCGTGTATACTCATAATCTATAATTTCTCATTGTGCACGCATAAAATAAATTTTTTCTGAGATATACAGATGAAGATCTTCTATATCTTCACCCTGACAAACTAAACATGCATAATTTTTTATGTCACACAATACACTCTTTTCAGAATCACCAATAATTTCACAATATTAATGAAACCACTCTTGACACGTACCACACTGCACCCAATTGATGTTAGAATATTTTGTAATTAAACATCTAATGTTAGCACAATTTTCTGACTTTTTAATACTGATTTTTTTATTGGAGGAGTTTAGTGATATGGATTCTAATTCAGAAAAATCATTTTTATTACTGGCTATCCATCAAGCCTGTAGATTTACTATATCTACAAACTGTTCCCCGATTAAACGCAAGGCTGCTGTTGTTTTAGAAAATTCAACGCTTTTAGCGGCCCACATTTCACTTGTTTTCACAGCTTCATTATTAGATAAAGATGAATCAAAATTTAAATCTAAAGTTTTACATTCCTTCAATAACAATTTATACAGTTTTAACACTACTCCTAACATAATATGCAAAACAGGAGGCACTACATTATCTAAAGATATTATGGGGAAAATCACAGGAGAAACAACTGAATGATGAAACTTACCTAAAGCTCTTAGGTTTCCACCTTGTATATTTTCACACAAATTCTCATTGTAAGCACCTTCTAGAGATTTTATTGTTCTCTTTATGATGCTACAATTAGCAGGTGTGTGAGGCATAGAGCCATGGCTTCTTAGAGAATTTAATTCAACTAGGTCTGTAAAACTAGGAAAGTTAGCAGCTGAACCCTGGTGTCCCAGAACATCATCGATGAAATGAAAATCTCCACCTAAGAACAACTTAATTTTTTTGCCTTTTAGTGTGAATTGGGACGACTGAATTCTTTTAATGTCGTTGACATAATGCCCAAGAATTAAGGCAATATTCTCACGACAGTCTGAACCCTGGTACATACAAAACAAATGAACATCATACTTAGACCCAGATGATTTAGAATTGACAACTTCAAAATGGAATTTCATATATGTCCCACCCTTATCGCCTGCAAAAAGTAGCCATATTTCATTATCAAAACCGACTTCAATGTTAAGGTGGTCGCGAATTTGAAGATTGTTGTAAATCTCTTCAATATAAGTTGTCAAACTCTTAACCATTAATACAGATACTAAACAAGGGGCTTCATTCGCAGATGGATAAAGCAACATGGACTTTACAGTGACATGATCTTTATCGACATGCATTGTTCGCCTTTCTTGTTCTTGTCTAATCTTGGGCTCAGATGGGAGAATCCTTGCACCAAGATTACACAGAATATGCCTAAGCTTACGAAATTCAGCCGTGGGCATCCTTAATTGGCTCTGAAGCTCTACAGCATCTGAAACGCTTAACTATGAAACAAAACCTAATTTATTTCCAACACAATGCAATACTGACATTTCACGAGACAGGACATCACATAACAACATACACAAATCACTTTTCACATCTGAACCAGCTAACAATTGAAGGAATATAACGGCAACCTTAGATCGCCTAGCTGCACTACGCCTACTTAACTTCGAATATTGTTTAGCACAGCTTAACTTAATATAAATATGTTTTTGAACAACTATTGGGTCATTAACTGATGGATTTTGTGGCTTAATCCACTTAAACCCAGAAAACAATTCAGAAGAACCAATATTATCATAGTCTAAATATGAATCCACAACAATTAAATTCTTACCGCTAACCAAACATTTGGAAATTTGGCAACTGTTCTGGTTTATGTTAACTTTTACGCTTTCTTTTGCAATTTTAATTTTTTTTAGCAATTTTGAATTACGAGCAGATGCAAATTTACAATGTGCTGTTTTAAGTTGTCTTTTTAAAATAAGTTGGAACTGCTCCTCCTCACCTAGTCTAATACTCATAGTCTCTACTTGAGAACTTAATGAGTTACAATGTGTGTCAAGAGTCTTGTTTTTAGAATTTAAATCTGTAATTTCAGTTTCCAGCTTTATTACCTGCATTTTTAATTTATTTATTTGCTCCACATATGTTTTTTCTTTAGAAGTTAATTGGTCAACTTGACTACTTAGTTCCTTATTCTTATTTAAAATTGAAAAATATTCTGCATCTGCTGATTTTCTTTTTTTGGTTTGTGAAGCTGGAGACAGTTGCATATTAAAAAATGCTTCGTTTTTTAAAGCTTCATAAATATTTTTAAAACGTTTTTTTTTTCTTTTTAATTTTATGCACATTTTTTCAAAGTCTTCAATAACTGGCAAATTAAACTCAATTGGCAAAATAAAATTTATAAAACTAAACAATGTATTAGATTGAAAGACTGTAAGTAAAATTGAAATCACGTTGTTGGTGATTTTATCAGTGTTCATTATTCGATTAATAAAAGGAAAGTTACATTAATTTTCCCAGCTATTTTCCCATCCAATGTATTGTATTAATATGTCCTTTTCAGTAGAATGCATAGTGATAAAATAACTTCTCAATAAAAATATAAAACAAACAAATAAAATCAAATAATAATTATTGACAAATAACAAGTATGCAATTGATATCAGAAGATTAAACAACTTATCTGATGTTTGTAGATTAGCCATGAGTGAAAAAAACCGCCAAAGTTTGTTTTATTTATACACTAAAATTTGTCTCGCTAAAAAAGCTGTTTTAATAATTTTTATTTAATAGTGAATTGGGAAGTAACGCATTTAAAGTTACGTCATTACTTTAAAATGTAAACAAAAATTTTTCGCATGTAACTACAAATTTTGTTTCTAAAAGCAACAAGCTTTGTCAAGGTTGAAAACGTTTTAGTAAGAAGTACAGAAAGTAATTTTTTTGATTTTCATATGCATAAAGGGTTGTAATTTCAATATTTTGGTGAACTTGGGAAAAATGTAACGTTTTTCATATAAACAAGTAATAACAAAAATATAAAAGCTAAAAAATTTAACTTAAATTTTTTTTATTATCCATGTTCACCAAAAATCTGATAAAATAGACATTCGTTTATAAGTATGTAAAATTTCAATCATAAAGCATGTAGCTTAAAATATCTAATCTTGATTGGCCCAAGACAGGTTTTCATTAAAATACGCAAAAAACAGAAAAGTGATCCCAAATCATTAGCAAAATTTTTACAACTTTTATTTTTATTCCATTTAATCAGAATACTTATTTAACAAGGAAAGATAGATGTTTCATTTTTTTTTTATTAGAACACAAAAGCGTTTATAGAAAAAAAAACCCACTTCTTTAAAGTTATTGAATTTTTATACGAAATTTTTTATGCGGAAATTGTTTTTGCTAAACTCGTGACATAATGCCCAATTTTACATTGCGTGAAACAGCCGTGTTATAACCATGGTTATAACTCTAAGCAATTTTTTGTGAAGTATTGATCACATTATAAAGCTTTTGTTTCAGCTCCTCCAGATAATCCAAGTCTAAATAGAATAATAAAGGAAAGTTCTAAATAGTTACTTCATTTGTGTCCCACTATCCAAATTCTAGATCAGACAAGACAACCAACTATATCTTTTTTTAAAAAAAAGACTGATAATTGATTCACTCTTCCCACAGTCAACAGGCAAGTTGGAGTGGCAATGGTCTACAATAACTCTTTCAACCTTAATAATTGTAAAATAATGTTATTTAATTCAAATAAAAAATGTTGCTATTTTTAGTTTATTTCAATGGCAAATAATTAGGTTGATGCATATTATTAAAATTTACAATTTTTCTCTAAATGATTGAAAATTAGAATTTAAGCAAATAAAATATATGTTTTAGATATTTAAGTTTTAAAATATAATGCTTTAATTTTACCCAAATTAGTACTAACCTGCAAGGACATGTTAAACTGAAAAATACTATAATTGAATTATTTTGCCATTTTTGAGCACTTTTCAGACAAATTTTTTTCCAACCTTGACAGATAATGATATTTAAAAATCAGGAAACTCAGAGATGTCAGGCCATTCGTAGAAATATAATAAAATGACCCTAATTTTTATGTTGAATCTTGTATACAAATGAATCTCATATTCAATTTTTGATTGAAAGAAATTTATATATAGAAAGATGTTTTTAATCTTAAATAAGAAATTTATTTAGAAATAATAACTATCAATAAGTAATAACCTTAAATAAGGTTAATTAAAATTATTACTTTTTAGAAGTAATAATTTTAATTAACCTTTAGAGGTTTTTTAGAGATAATAGCTATAACTAACCTAAAATGTGAAGTTTCTTAAAAGCAAAAACTTTTATTAACTTTATATATTTGTTAAAAGTAATAAACTTTAAATAACTATGATTTAGAGTCTTCAAATTCATCTGAAATTGCTAGCAGATTTTATGTCAAGCAAGGTAATTGTAGTATAACGAGGTTTAGGCAGGAATGATGTGCAATTAAACTACAACTACAAAAGTTGTATTTACAACTACAAAAGTTGTATGTTACAACTTACAACTTACTGTTACTACAACTGTTACTTACTGTTACTTACTGTTACTACAACTTACTGTTACTACAACTGTTACTTACTGTTACTACAACTGTTACTACAACTACAAAAGTTGTATGTTACAACTACAAAAGTTGTTAAGTACAATGTGCAATTAAACTCCAACTACAAAGCGTACACTCACCTTAGACTCCTGTATTTTGTTAGATGCAGTGTTTTTCCTAATGCACTTCCAAAATGTCATGCCTGGTTTTCTCAAAGTACTGTTGCGGGAAGTAGCTCCTTTTAACTACTCCAGGTCAGGTCAGGATAATCGAGATCAATCTTGCTACTGGTATCACGTAACCCAGTACCACCTGCCACAAGCCCTGCTGCCTTGCAGAGTGTGCTCTTCTTATGCAAAGGCTAGGAGAAATAAACTCCGACTAAAAATTCCCCTGCCTTGGGGCTCTTGGTTGAGTAAAGGCTAGAGATGGTGTCTCGATAAAAACACTCATCTTGGGCAGATGTTAACTGCATCCTGCTACTGTCTTGTAGAAGGCCTCCTAGGCAAAGACTTTAGGGGTAAGCAGAAAAATTTTGCTAACCAGCCTCGAACCCCTTCTTCATCTATTAGGCTGGCGTAGATGTAACCTGTGTTACATTGTTTCCTGCCTAGGATGATAAATGCTGGATCTCCTTGATTCTACTCATAGAATTTTGCTTATGCCTCCTTGATAATGGCTATGCAACTCTTCCTGTTATCTCCATATGAGGGTACAGCTCTAAAACTCAGTTTAATGGTTCTGAGGCAGGCTGGTAGTAAGGTTTCCCGAGCTCTGTGGTAGCTCTCAGAGAGGCTGATTCCATTAACAGCTGCAAAATATCAGAGTATTAACAGTGCCATGTTGCGCATGGATGGTGTCCCTGTTAATGCTTTTGGTGTGCATTGTCAAGGCCACATAAAGAGCCCTATGTCACGCCTTAGGGTTAATTAACAGGACTGAGACAACTGCAAAGCTCATTGATTAGGAGGCTGTGCTCTATCTATGAATGAGTCAAGTTCTCATTAAACCCAAATCATGACCAAAGTAACCAAAAATTTAAAACCTAAAAAACCATCCCCACCACCTAAATATTTTAATATATCTTTTACAAATATTCGCGGTCTACGAAGCAACTTTCCATCAGTTGAGTCTTACCTCCTGCAAAATTCACCAGACTTGCTTGCACTCAGTGAAACAAATTTAAGTTCTGCAATTCCTTCTTCAGATGTCAGTGTTGATGGGTACTATCCTTTGATTCGTAAAGACTCCAATAGTCACATGCTAGGTTTAGGGGTATACATACGCATTAATTCCCCTATTTGTCGTGAAATCAGGTTCGAATCCTTTGACCATTCTTTTATGTGCTTTCGCCTAGCACCTCTTCACTCTATCACCTTTCTCTTTGTTCTTTATCGTTCTCCTTCTTCCCATGATTGCACTCTTTTAGATGTTATCTCTGATCAAATTGACCATGCCCTCTCTCTTTACCCCTCTGCCAATATTGTTGTTGTTGGTGATTTTAATGCCCATCACACTGAATGGCTTGGCTCTAACACCACTGATCCTGCTGGCACTAAAGCCTTTAACTTCTGCGTTTCTCAATCTCTTACTCAGATAGTTAACTTTGTGACTTGTTTTCCTGACAACCCTAATCATTTACCTTCACTCCTTGACTTATGTCTTTTCTCTGACCCCAGCTTATGTTCAGTTTCTCCCTCTTCTCCCTTAGGTGGTTCTGACCATGCAATGATCTCTATAAATCTTTCTTCTCGTACTTCTTTTTTGGGCTTTTTGGGCTTTTATCATCGCACCACCTACTACTACCCTAAAGCTGATTGGGATTCCTTTCGTGATTTTCTTCGTGATGGTCCTTGGGCTGATGTTTTTTCTCTCTCAGCTGACAAATGTGCCTCCTACGTAACCTCCTGGATTCAGGCTGGAATGGAAGCTTTTATTTCTTCGCGTCGGTTTCAAGTCAAGCCTCATTCTACTCCATGGTTTTCTCCTTCTTGTGCGGCTGCTATATCCAATCGCAATCATTTTTTTCATCTTTTTCAAAAGAACAACTCTCTTGAGAACAAACGGCTATTTATTATTGCAAGAAATCGATGTAAAAAGGTGCTTTCTGATGCTAAACTCCATTATTCTCAGTTCACTAAATCTCGCATCTTATCGCAAAAGTTAGGCTCTAAAGACTTTTGGAAAATCTTCAACAGCATTGTTAACAAGGGTAGATCTAACATTCCATCTCTCATTCATGGGACTGATCTTGTTACCTCTCCCAGGGATAAGGCAGAACTGTTTGCAAAGAGCTTTTTTTTTAATTCCACTCTTGAATCTTATGGACATTCTCTTCCTTCCATTCCAGTCAAACAGGTTGACCCATTGTTAGACATTCAAATCGTTCCGGCTTCTGTTGCTAAAGTCATATCTCAATTAAACTCGTCTACAGCTTGTGGTCCAGACAACATTCCTGTCACAGTCTTGCAGAATTGTTCTCCAGAACTTTCTTCAATTCTCTCTAAACTATTTAACAAGTGTTTGACTGAGTCTTGTTTTCCTGCTTGTTGGAAAATGGCATCTGTGGTTCCAATATTCAACAACTGGAGAAAATTCTGACCCCTCCAATTATCTTCCGATCAGTCTTCTTTCTGTTATTAGCAAGGTCTTTGAGTCTTTGATCAACAAATTCCTCACATCTCATCTTGAGTCAAATAAACTGCTGTCAGACAATCAATACGGTTTTCGATCCTCTCGCTCTACGGCCGACTTGCTAACTGCTGTAACTGAAAGATTTTATCGTGCATTAGATGGAGGCGGTGAGGCTAGGGCTATTGCTCTCGACATATCTAAAGCTTTCGAAAAAGTTTTGCATGCTGGTCTTCTCCATAAGCTTGCTTCATATGGTGTTTCTGGGAAAGTTTTTGAGATTATCAAATCATTTCTTTCTGACCGGTTTATTAAAGTCATCCTTGAAGGCCAACACTCTTTTTTATTTCCAGTAACTTCTGGGGTTCCCCAAGGTTCCATCCTGGGCCCTGTTTTGTTTCTTATCTACATAAACGATCTCCTTGACAACCTTTCATCTAAAGTAGCTCTTTTTGCTGATGACTCAACTTTATACTCCTGTCTTGACAAAAAGTCTTTACTTTTCGATCGCCTAGAACAAGCAGCTGATCTTGAATCTGATCTCACTTCAGTAATAGATTGGGGTTCACAGTGGCTTGTGAATTTCAACTCTAAAAAAAACCCAATTGCTTACTGCAAACAACTACCGTAATATGGTCAACATTCCTATATTTATGAATGGCAATCCTCTTACTGAGTCGTCCTCTTTACGTCTTCTTGGATTATCGCTTACTACTGACCTTTCATGGAAACCATATATACAATCGATTGCTAAATTAGCTTCTGCTAAGGTTGCTTCTCTTTATCGTGCTCGCCATTTCCTTACTTCTGATTCCATTCTCTACCTCTACAAATCTCTTATTCGTCCCTGTATGGAATACTGTTGTCATATTTGGGCTGGTTCTTCTAACGATTCACTTTCTCTTCTTGACAAGGTCCAAAAACGCATTGTAAATGTTGTTGGACCTGGACTATCTGCTAAGCTTGAACCTCTTTTTCGCATCGTCGTAAAGTTGCATCTCTTTCTCTTTTCTACAGATACTATCATGGTCACTGCTCAAAAGAGTTATCATCTCTAGTTCCATCAACTAAAATTCATTCTCGTTTTATTCGTCATTCAGCTAAGTCTCATTCGTTTACTGTATCTGTCCCTGCATGCTCTAAAAACTTTTATTTATCTAGTTTTTTTCCCCGCACTTCAATCCTTTGGAACTCTCTCCTATCTTCATGTTTTCCTGACTCATACAACCTTCAACTTTTCAAGTCTTCTGTCAACCGTTTTCTTGCTTTATAACTCTGTTCTTTTTTTTCCTAGTAACTCCCAACTTAATAGTGGTTGCTTGCAGCCTTGTTCAGAGTGAATGCAAATAAAAAAAAAAAAAAATTGCACGCTGCTCCTGATCATATATATTCTTCTTCTTATTTTTTTTTTGACAACCTGACCATATCCGTTTAGAATTTTTACACTTTAAACATTTAAGAAATGCACTCAAAAAGTTTGTTTTAAATTACATTAGGAATAACTTTAAATCATTGATAATTTTTTTGCTTCATTATTGAAAACTATTTATACCAAAATTTATTATTTTTTTTATAAAAACCTTTCTCTCTTTTATAAACTAATAAGAAATAAAAAACCATGTACTAAATTACACAGTAGTGTAATACGTTATATTATTATGTAATATTATAGAGGCAATTAATTTGCAAATTAGGGTGTATTGAAAAACAACTTTTTTTGAATTTAAAATTGTAATAGAGCGGAAAAGTTGCATAAGGCTATAAAAAGTAATTGTGCCAAACTTTTTTATATTTTTGTTATGTCTTCAGTTCGCACTAGGGTTTTTTTTCTCTTACAAAAACATGTTTTCTGACCTTTTTTACAAAATAAAAATAACAAACAGCTTCGATTAAAAGTTTGATGCATCTTTCTACTCCTTGAGTATGGCATGGAAAATGTTGCACATCTTGGAGATAAACATTTGTTAACATTTAGATTTTCATCTGAAATGACAGTGGTAATCAGAGGTTCATTTAGTTCACATTTTTCCAATCAAATAAGACTATATAGTCTTCTGCTTCAAAATTGATTTCTGGTATAGAGAACTTTCGAGCGTTGTTTGTTTTCATCGATCTTGGTTTGATAATTTGTTGTAATGCCAATTTCTTCACATTTATGAGTATCCGATATCACAGCAATATGCATGTTTTCTGGATACGCAAAAAAAGCATTCCTTTGTATTACTAGATCGATGATACTTTTTATTTCACTACTGGCATACCTGGATAAATTGATGGTTAGCCATAAATTTCTAGTACCTTCTGTACATGAGGGATTACATCTTATATTAAACCACATTTGGCTGTAAATTTTAATAACAATCTCAGCCTGTGTGGCGGTTCGGTACATCCAACATAATACCTCAATATTCTGTTTGCAGTGGTCACCCACCTGACGTGGTTAAGTTTTCCAGGATTTCAGTTTAGCCAAAGCGTTTGGACAATAACCTGTAAATATTGCTTTTCAAATATCAAGTAAGTATTTTTGGTCAGATCTAAGAGATTTTTTTGTCTATTTTTGGCAATGTGACACTGACAGGAATGTAGGTGTCTAAGGCAAGATATCAAACAATTTAATTTCAGACCATCTGTTAGGTCCTGATGTAGGTCCATCTAGTTCTTGAATTAGATGACGTAGAGGCAGTTCATTAACATGTATTTGACAGATAAACCAGTGGACAGGTCTTTTAAGTTATAATTCGAGCAAAGCAATAACACCATTAAGAAATCTGGTATTGACAACTGTTCTGTCACAACCCATAGCAACTAATTTAGATATTGTTTTCAGTTAAAAATGTTTTTATACTCGTCTTAATTCTGTATTCATGTCCTGATTTAGTCTCTACATGCCCTAGATACTTTGACCCTGGTTGTTGTACTAAAACTACATGTTCTTCTTTGATAGTTTTTTGTATATTTTTCTCCTTGTTTGTATCAATAACTAATGTTGTATCTTTTCTTCCATCAAAATACAAACCTTCTAACATTTGAATATTCTCATGTTCTAAATGTTGCATTTTAAGTCTGCTTTTCTTTCGTTCTCTTTAAATCTTATTTTTATGAATTACTCTAGATTAGTCTCCTTTTGTAATTATGTTCATGTCTTTCAGCACAGCACATGCTACAAATGTAGGACCTCTAATTAAAAACACCTACTCTATTGCAGGCTTGTGCTAATGATAGTAACTGTGATCTCATTTGTTCAGTTTTATCGTTTCTGTTCCATTTTTGCCTGCGGTCTTTAGCTTTGTCTAAATAATTAGCATCTGATTCTGAGTCAGTATTCCAAATCTTGAGATATAGAATAAATACTATTCTGAATGCAGCTTGATGATATTGTTTGAGCTTCAATACCTGTATTAGCACAAGACTATGTTGATCGGTTAGGCAGTAAGGGGCTATTTACTGTTTTTTCTTGCTTCTTTTCAACGTAATTTTTAAAGAGATCCCAAACTCCCAACACATGTTGTGTTCATATTAAAGATAATGTTAAAAAAAAGGTTTGAACCAAGTTTTTTTGATTAAAAATAAATAATGAATGCATACCGAAAAAAACTAAGGTTGTTGTTTTAGCTGAAGCTCGCTTTCTCCATTTTTTCTAATAACTGGGAGTCTTTAATTTATACGTCACAATCTACAGACTTTGGCAATTCCTTTGAAGCGCGTTTAATTCATAAAAGGTCAGCGCAGTATTATATATTCTTAATCTTACTTATTTTTATTTAAACAATGAGAACTATTTTCTAACTTCTCTGATTATTTTTACGCTATGATATATTTTGTTTTCCCGTCGAAAAAAAGTATTTATTAACAATTAATTTCATAAACTAGCAGTATTAGTTAAAGATATTTGATGAATTGTTAACTTTTTTTATTATAAAATTTTTTTGATTATGCTGATTTATTTTAAATTGCTAAATTTGCTGAATTGGATATGGATAAAAAGGAAATATCATTTTATTTTACATTTGATTTTTGATAATGAAACTTTTAAAATGTCGGCAACTCCATACCAATTGGAACCTGTTAAGGTTATGAAAAAAAAGTACAAGAATACTCTAAACAATACAGTTGAAAGTAGTATCAGATATAAAAATTTGTGAAAGGATATGTGAGGTCCTGGTTTTGCATTCAAAGTACAATTAATAGCAACACAAGTTGGCATTATAAATTTTGATTATAAGTTTACTGTTCAATGTTTTATAACCATCAAATAAAAAACATGAAGTTTGTATATTTTTGCCCAGTTTATACAACTAATATTTAACAAAAATATCGAAAAATTATTATTATATAACGCAATAATTAACACATTAATTAATGGCAATAATTCAAGATAAATGGTAATTTAAATTGTCAAAATGTCATAATGCGCGCTAAAAAACATATTATATTTGGTATTTCCCAATTTGTGTCGTATTTGGCATTTTTCTCTTAACATGAAAAATTAAAAAATTTTTAAAACACAATTAACAAATACAAATTTTCAAGCAATTTTCTCTTCCAATTCTCATTTATTCAAAGAAAAGTTACTATTAAACTTTTATTTCTCTCATGTAAAAAAAGAACGAGTGAAGCAAAAAAAAAAAAAAATTCTATACAATTCTTATTCATTCAAAGTTTAATTACATGAAACTTTTCTTTCTCTTTTGTTCTACTCTTTTATAAAAAGAGCGAGCAATGAAATAAAAACTTTTCTTTCTTAAAATAAATTTATACTTTGAGATAAAATTAAATTAGAAATAAATCAACAATGAACAAAGCAACTAACAGATTAATCTGGGACTATTTTGATATTAATGAAAATAAACAACATAACCAACAACAGTTATCAAATAAACAACACAAAATGGCATAATTTTAGGGGCTTTTTTTTTTTTATTGCTTAGTCGTTCTAAATAATAAGTAAATTTAGTTCAAGTTAATATTTCAATATTTACAGTTGCTTTATAATTAAGAAATGGTGTTTAATATTGAACTTTTTATTTAGTTATTTATTTTTCACCCACATTTGTTATAAAAAACTTTCAAACCCCTGTCAATAAAATAATTTGTTTTAATTATATTTCAAAGTGATTATTCAAACTAATTTTATACGGGTAATTAATGTAAAATAATTTTTTATCAGAGTCTTGATTGAGATAATAAATATTCATAATTTATAAACATTAAATATATGGCGCAATAACAATTTATAGCAACGAACCAGCATAAAATATTTGAGGTTTTTAATATCTTTTTAAATGTTAAAAATAGTAAAAAAAAAAAACTAAACAAATAATCATAAAAAGTTATTTCTAGAGTTTCATTTGTTAAAAGTCTACCGTGACATCAAATACTAAAACTTTTATGAATTAAATGCGCTTTAAAGGAATCGCCAAAGTCTGTAGATTGCGACGTATAATTTAAAGATTCCAAATTATTGAAAAAAATGGAGGCGAGCTTCAGCTAAAACAACAACCTTAGTTTTTCTAGGTATGCATTCATTATTTATTTTTAATCAAAAAAACTCGGTTCAAACTTTTTTTTTAACATTATCTTTAATATGAACACAACATGTGTCGGGAGTTTGGGATCCCTTTAAGTAGTTTGAATATCAATTCCTTACATAATCTCTGAGAAAATCTTTCTCTGGTACCTTTTTTACTTTTTCACATTTAGAAAAATCAAGACATTTGCTGTAACATCAAATAAAGTATTTTCTTCAGTTTGCCTGTATGTTTTGTTTTGTTAACGGATTTCATAATATTTCCATATACCTTTTTAAACACAGTATATTGCAAAGCAGTTCCACTTCTTCTTCATTGTTTATTTTTAGACTTAGTTAAAAAAAAATGTTATATTATGCTTGCAGGCTGGATTTTCTTTTTAGTTTAGTTTAGCTTAATTTAACACATTTCCTAAATGTTTAAATTGTCAAATTATCTAAATAGGTTTGGTCAAATTGTCAAAAGTATATTTTATATATGTGTTCAAGTATAATGTGCATTTGCATGTCATTCCTGTCTAAACCTGTGTGATAATAGTAAAGATTATCATGATTACAAACATTACCAAATACATGAAGGTTATAATAATAGAATATTTTTTGCTTTATTTAGATTCTTCAAATGAGTCTGTTAAACTAAAAAAATTTTATCTTGAAAATTATGGGACAATTAATGAACTTCAACCACCATTAAAAGCACCTGCAAATGTTGATCTAATACATAAATTTGTTGATCTATGTATTGTTGATGCAGTTAGTACTCAAATGGATGCTGTTTATGGTGTTGAAATAAACGATTATCTTGAAAAGCAAATGGGTTATACACCCATTCCATACAATGATATATTTATTAAAGAAAAATCTTCAATCTTAATATCTGGAATAGCTGGTATTGGAAAAACGTGGTTGCTTAGAAAATGTTTACTTGATTGGTCCAATGATTTAATTTGGAGAAATATTGATCTTTTATTTTATTTTGAATGCCGAAGGATTAATCAATATCAAAACATTTCTAATATTAATGAATTGATAAATGTTTTCTACAAAGATTTTTTAAATGAAATTAATATTAGTAATCATAGAGTACTGTTTATTATTGATGGATTAGATGAGTTTAAATATTTAAATGAATTAATAAATCCAAGTTTGAGTTGTAGCTACCCAATTGTAAATGCTTTGGTAGAAATTAAAAAATACAAATATGTAATTGCAGGTAGAGTTTATGCAATTGATTATTATCAAAGTATATCCACTGAGCATAATAAGTTAACCATTCAAATAATGGGATTTAATGAAAATGGAATAAATGATTATATAGAAAATAATGTTATTGAAGAAAAAAAAGAACTTGTAAAAACAACTTTGAAGGATTCTCCAATTGCAAAAGCCATGGCATCTGTTCCGTTTTATTTATCTTCAATGTGTAAAATTATTAGTGATTCAACAAATAGAAATAAAAGTTCTTTCTTAACAATGACAGACTTGTATGCAAATATTTTTTTATACTTTTTGCAAAAACACATCATCAAAAATAATGAATTGATTTATCAGATAATGGAAAACAATTCTAACAAAAAATATATTTTAAATATTTGTAAAATTGCATATCAATTGTTTATTAAAAATAAAGTAATTTTTTCAAGAGAAGAAATTCAAACTTTGATCAGTGACTTTGATAAAGATGAATGTAATCTTTTTGGATTTATAGAAAGGATTGAAACAAATCTGGGGTATCATTATCAGTTTGCACATTTGACAATAATGGAGTTCTGTGCATCTGTATATGCTTACAATAGTTTTAGTAATAAAGAGATTATGAACAATAAAAAGCTGAAGAGTTGTTTATCAATGATTTGCGGATTAAATAATAAAAACGAAAATAATTTATTAAAGTTTCTTGCTAACCTGAATCCTTCGAACAAATCTTTTTTTCATAAGGTTTATTCAAAAAGAAAAAAAACCCATACAAAGAAATCTTTGCTTGGTAACCTTTGTATTGGTAAGTACTAAAATTTTATTGTATTATTTTGAGTCATTTTAAATAAACAAACAGGTGTTGATATAAAATGTATAGAGATATAAAATTTATAGAGATTTTCATGTTATTTTTTAAAATATGTTTTATAAATGAATTGATAAGGAAATAAATTAAAGAAAAACCTAAAAATAAAAAAATAATATTTTATATACTGTTTTTTAAATCGTGATTAAAATAACATATCAACTGTCATTGATTTTTTTAAATAAAATAATTAATTTTTAAATAAAATAAAAATACAGGCCGTATATCCCACAACAGCCTATTTTTTCCTGGGATAGTTTGTTACAATAAAATTATTTTAAATTTAGATTAAATAACTTCGCAACTTTGATCTTTTCTAAAGTCTATTAAGCAAAAATTTTTAAATTTAAAAATATAATAACTAACTTGTTACAAGTTTGTTTTTATATTTTTAAATTTAAAAATTGATTGATTGGTTTTGGATATATTCTAAATACCATTTTGTATATAAATACAGTGTCTACAAGATTAATTACAGCATAAAAGTTGAACTTGCTGATAATAGAACATTTATAAGTGTTAAAATCAGAGTTAAAAAAGCATGTTTATTTCAGGGTTGGCAAATAAACCCAACCCAAAAAAATCCAATAAAAACCAAACCCAAAAAAACCCAACCCAAAAAACCCAATAAAAACCAAAAGAACCAAAATATATTTGGGTTTTTTTAAAAAATGTCCTATTTTACTACTGATAACTCTGATTTTTACACTTATAAATGTTCTATTATCAGCAAGTGCAACTTTTATGCTGTAATTACTCTTGTAAACACTGTATTTATATACAAAATGGTATTTAGAATATATCCAAAACCAATTAATCTGTTTTTGTAGCAAGTTGGTTATTTATTGTTTTTTTAAAACATAGCAAGTTAATATAAATATTATTAAAATATGAATTAAAACATTAAATTAGTTAAATACTTATAAAGGAAATAAAAATTATTCTAATAACTAAGTTTTAAAGTACAAGATATTAATGTTAATGTAAAATAATTTTTGAAATTTTCGGGTTTGAAATTATAAAAATGTTATGTGCAAGCAAGTTTCATTCAATGAGAGAACATGTTGAAAACTTGTATACAGTTCACAAGGACAAGATTTGTTGGTAAAAATGATACTCATGCTCATCTGTCTATTTTACAGGTTTTGAATATTTTGCATCAGCTACAAGTTTACAACATGTACCGTCAACAAGGGTCACTAAGAACAGCAGGTTAAAAATAAACATCGTTACCAAGTTTGCTAAAAGGTGAAGAAACACACGCAATAGAGCTATATATTGTGTTACTTTGATTCAGTTGCAAAACTGAGCTGTTAAAACATCTTTAAGTAAAAAAAAAAGAATCTGGTGGTGAAGACACTGTAATGGTTATTAACAAATTCATTTTAGATATTTCAAGAACAATCAAAGCTTAGGCACAAATCCATTTGCAAAACAAATCTCCCCATAATCTAAAAAAAAAAACATTATGAAGTGCTATCCCGTTTTGGCTAATCATTACTCTCTTAAATATTTTGATATAATTGCTAAATTATTTTATGTAATTTTGTATAAAGAAATATTTTAAATATTAGTTACATTATTTAAGTTCTAAATATCCATGTTAGATTAGCTGAACTTCCTGTTTCTGATCATTCTTATGAAGATTGTCGATTGATGATGGAAGCCCAAAAACTTGGTTTACGGATGGAAGCTAATCTTACTATTTTAAGAATATTAATATGATCTTATAAAGTAAGATAATTAAGATAATTACTGCAAAATGTTGATCAGGCCGATAACTTTTCCAGGAAGCTGGACAGTATAATGTTCTGTTAAAAAAAATTCAGTGATTAGGCTAACAGTTTTCTTCTATGATGCAAAAATGTTTAAAAAGTGTTTATAATCACCCTGATTGACAATAATTTACAAGATTGCAACATCATGTTGCAAACTTGTTGATTACATGTTGTAAACTTAGTTTTGAGTATAAAAAACTAGTTTCAGAGACCATTGAGTAAAATTCAGAGACCATCAAATGCAAAAGCACAGTATCAAACATTTAGTACTTATAAAAGTAGTAACACATTGAAAAAGTTAGTTGTTACAACAAAAACTGGTTCTCTCAGTTTTATCTCTAAAGCTTACGGTGGCCAAGCTTCAGATAGACACATTACAGAGGACTGCAATGTTATTAACATGTTTTCTGAAAGTTCTATGTGCTTGACGAACAGAGGTTTTAATATTCAAGGTTTGCTTTTGGAAAAAAAAGTGGTATTAGTTTGTCCACCTTTTAAAAAAAAAAGGACAACATTTTACACAAGCGAAAATTCTATCAGCCAAAGAAAATGCTCAATCACGTGTCCATTTAGAACGCTCAATTCGTTGACTTAAAGAGTTTATGATTTGTAAGAACAAGTTATCATTAACAATGCTAAACCTCATTGATCACATTTATGTTATTTGTGGGGCTTTAAGTAATTTACAACCACAAATTGTAAAAGAATTTATTTGACATAAATTAAATCTTAGTAAATATATATATATAAAAAAAGATATTTCAATTTTTTATACTCTTTTTTTTTTTATATATAAAAAAAGTTACATTATAAACCATGAAAAATGTTAAGAATAATGTTTTCAAAATGTGTTCAGATTGTTATCACATATTTTCTGTTGCTTAAGATTTATGATGTCATTGAATGTTTCATTAATTTGTTTACTTTCTAAATCATTAACACACTTCTTTATGAGATCATATAAAATTAATTTAACCATTTCCTCTTTTTCGAGTTTCTTTATAAATAATTCAGGCAAAATAAATTCTGTAAAAAATATTTGAAACTTTTGTACATTTTTAATATAGCTAGGATCCGAATAAATTCTTTCACGGTTTTGATCACTGGCTAAACATACATAGAAATCAGCATGTGGATTGCCACTAACAAATAACTGATGTTGTATTATATTGTATATTGCGATGTTGTATTTGCGTACTGTATCTATGACTAGTTTTTAGTGTGTATGTGTTTGCACAAGATTTGTTTTCTAGGAAACTTTGCGCACTTAGACCATATTCAGAGATTTTTTTTTGCCTAAATGTCCATGGGCATTTAATTTCAAGCAAACCAAACCCACAGCATGTACAACTTGTAATACCATCTGGGCTTGCTACAAGATAAGGTGTTTCAATTGATATTATTAGGCCGGTTTGATAACATTTAAAGTTTTTATGATTTTTTTTCATTTCCTTAATATATCTTTTTCTGGCATAGCACTAAAACATGTTACCCCATTGAATTGACTTACTCTCTGCTTTTTTTTTATAGCCTAAAAGTTGAGCACATAAAGAAAATGCTGCTTTTTTTCACTATCAAGTCATTGTCAAATTTTTTCAAAACATCATGAGCGATCGATGACAATATTCTTCCAACTCTATATTTTTTCCAAAGTAAACTTTTTGATTGAGGTATTGTAGATTCTTTTATAAGTTCTACTTGAGATTGTGTTATTAAAAATGTCCTTAAAAATTGTTCACATTTAAATGCTAAACATTTATTTCCATAACAACATTCTATTTGAGCAACTAATTGGTCTATGGTGGGTGGTAGTGTTTCATTTTTAGTTGTGCTTGCAGAAGGTAGTTTTTTTAAAAAAATATTCTGACTGTATATTTGGCTTTAGGCAAATTACAGCACTTTTTCTATCGGCTTCTGCAACTGCTTTCCAATCTAAAAATCCAATCTAAAATCTGACTGCCTTAAATGATAAGGACGAGGATCGTATAAAGATCGACTGAGTTTAAGACATTTATTTTCAATACTAGGTTTGACTTTTTTAATAGAAATATTTTGTAATATATCTGGCTCATGTAATTTTCTTGTTTGAGTTCTTGTCCCTCACTTTTGTTTTACTGATGCAGGCCTTGCGATAAAGCGTCGGGCGATGTGAATTTTACGTCGTCCAAGAGCGATTTTGCGTGTAGCTAGGGCTATTTGCGTCGAGCAAAAAAATTTTTGTTTGAGTATATTTAAAGATATTTTTGAGCGGAATTTTAATGAAGTAATTTACGAATATTTTAACATTTAATAAAGTATTTTAAAAACCGCACGCAGTTGAAAAAGTTTGAATTTAAAAAAATTAAATATGCTCATTATTTACAAGTAGAAAAAAATCAAAAATTAAAAAAAAAGTTTAAATCTTTTAAGCTAACATTTAATTAAAATTATCTAACATTTAATTAAAATTGAACAAAAATACTTTCTTTTAGTTTTAGATTTTAAACTTAAATAATTATTTTACGGGGGTTTGTTAGGATTTAAAATTATTCCATAGATTTAAAAATATTTATTAACTGTTAGACGTATTTAAAGTATTTAAGAGTAATTTCGAGGAAACATTTTAAAAATTGGTGAGGGCAAATAAAAAAATAAAAAAGGATTAATATTAAAACGTATTCTACTTGATTCAGTAAAAAAGTACAGTTATTAAAATTTTTGTAAAAAGTAACTCAAAAAAATTACTTAAATAATAACGATCGCTTTTATGTTAAAGGTTACCGAAACTCAACGAAGCGTGCTCAAGAACAGCTGCAGAAAAATAGAACGTCAATAGTTTTTCGAATAATTTTTAAGAATAATTTTTTCGCTGAAATATTTCTTTTATTCCTAAAAAATTTTTATTCTAACATATTTTTTTTTACTAGAAATAAAATTCCTTGTTAACATTAAAAATCTATTCAAAACGTTCGTTTAAGTTTTTTATTAATACGAGTGATTGTGCTTATCAACCGCTTTATGAAAATAAATAAAAATAAATAAATATTATATAAAATCGCTTGTAAAAAATATTAGCTATTGCACAGTTTTTAATCGTACAATATTAAAATTTCCACGCTGACTTTTTAAAAAGAAAAAATAATTATTTGAAAAATTTTAAATTACATATTTAAGAAAAAA